AGCTTTACTCCTTACTTATCAGGTATATTTGGGCTATACCATGTAATCTATACATTGTGGCATTGTGCCTTCATCCAAGAAGATTTTTCTAGGGAATGTATACTGGTTTACATTTATATGTTAGATATTCGATGACTGTTCAAACTTTTATTAGACTGTCTTGATTGTCTTTGGGAATGGCATTATTGTTATGAGTATGAAAACAGTATGCAATCAGTACAAATCGTTTCGCAATCATAAAAGTATTGAAAGGAAATACATGCCATAATTTACCTGTTTGTCAGTACATACTCATTGTTGGCATCTTCACAATGCCCATCAACATTATCAGTCCCAAATATCTGGCAACCTCTTTTACACTCACTTCATCCCACTAATTGTTCGGGCTTTTAGAACCATTTGACATGCTTTGTGGTGCATACAAGTTGGTTTAATATACCATAAATTTCAGACAATCTTGCGTAATAAATAACTGTAAAAGTCCCAGAGGAGTGCTGGTACTGGTAAAGTCAGGCCTGGTGCTCCAGTACAATTGTGTACAATGGGAGGAGTGAACAAATCCACAAGGGCCGTGATGATGGTTTGAACTTACGCCCGGGATGATCCCAGACACTGCATTAGTCGACTAGGCCACTACATGGTTAAAAGAATTGCAACCGGGGGTTCCACTGGCCTCACACGGATCCTGTAGCCTCTCCAAGACACAAACCAAGGTTTTACACAAATCCACCATGCACTCGGGCTCTGCCAACAAGCTGTTCTACCTCTTTGCCCTCACTTGAATACACATATAAATCATAATATGACCAAATCCACCAGGGCCGTGATGAGGGTTCGAACTTAGGTCCAGGATGATCCCTGGAAGCTGCCTTTGACAGATCATCCCGGGCATAAGTTCGAACCCTCATCACGGCCCTTGTGGATTTGTTCATTTGATACATCACGCTATTGTGATTTCTATATGTGTGTAAGGGAGGAGTGTAGTCAGTAGACGAGGCTTCACCAGAACAGGTGCATGGGGGTACGAGCAGTATATGTTATAGTAGCAGGGCCAGCACGTGTGGTGGTGTCAACATCTTCATCATCACTCCCTTCGCTGTCAGTTTCATCCTCACCTGCTGTTTCAGTTTCAACCACCTCACTGTCAACATCACTGCCACTTTTGTCACTTTCAAGATCAAGATCAGATAATTCGTCAACTATAGCCTGCTATTTTGTTGGTGTGAGTTTCACTTTGCTGTACTTATGGCAAACACTACTTAGCTTTTCCCTCAGGCGTGTTTTTTCTAGGCTTTCGTCATCGAATGGCTCTGATCTTGTTCACTATCCATCTTGGAGTAAATGTCGAAAGTTTATAAAGGCAGTAACAAATATAACTGAGGAAAATAGCAGGAAAGGGCACACGTTTGGATGTGACGGGAAGCTGCAGCGGTCACGAGTTTGGTCACGAAAACAATGGACCTACCGCTTTTGAGGCTGTGCCGTGATGCCACATAGGGACATCACAGAAAATGGGAAGATGCTGGTGCACATTGTAAAACACGTCCCATAATGATTGGGGAAAATGGAATTTTAATTAAGATATTTTAATTATGGACGCAACATGCGTCCCCACCTGAGATCCGTAGATTTGTTTAGGGACACAATATGTATCCCCACCCAGAGTGTTGTGAGGGTATCCAGTACCTCATCATGGAGTGTACAGTACTTGTATAACACAAAAGAACTAAGATACATGAAGCACAACTAATCTGCATATCCAGTGACTCCGGGGGAGGAACAAAGGATGTTTAACTTCAAGGGCAAAATGTTGTGATTGTCTGGGTCAGTCAGAGACCCATATTACAGATGGTTTTAGCAGGGAGGTTTTTAAATTCATTCCCATATGTTTGTACTTGGACGTGTTCTAACCAGTACCTTTGAGCACTAGCGAATTTGTTTGATTCCTACCTTTTGTAGAAATTAAACACCCTGTGTGTGACTCATAGAAGTTTATTTTAATCAGAGTACGGAATGCATTCAATTACTGAAGTCAAGCATGGCTCTTGGATCTCAGTGGGAGCACTGGCAAAGGTCGCAATGACTTGCAGCGTTTGCTTAGGCCACTGGTCACAGAATTGTCACTGAGGCCAATGGAACCACATCTCGGCTTTAGATAATTGTTTTAAGGTCAGACCTCTGGAGAAACAGTCAACTGGGTTCTCCGTAGTGGGTACATACCAAAGTTTGTATCTGGATGACAAATCTCGAGTTTTTTACGCAGTTGCTAGCATATGGGGTTTTGCTGTTATTATTGCGAACCCACTGTAACACTGCCTCCTGATCTGACCACTCCACTGTTTGTTCAAAGTGGATGCTACTCAATGTTTTGGTCAAGTAATGAGCTAGCCTTATCCCCTAGTAGTAAGGCAGTTAATTTTATTTGTGGTAATGACCGCTTCTTTAACACGACACCTTGACTTTAGATGTGAGAAAATTTGGTTGCCCATTTGTTACTAGGTGTGCTGCAGTAAAGTATTAAGCACGCCCTGAGGCGTCACAAAACACGTGCAGGTGAATTGGTTGATCTTGATTGGTGGTCTTTCGAGGGAATTTAACAGATTCTAGGGCATTTAAATTTTTCACTAACCCCCTGCCATTTATCTTGAAGTGTAGGAGCCAGAGGATCATCCCAGCCTATATAGTATCTCCATCCAGCATTCTTGCATCAATAACTTGCCCTTATTTAATAATGGAATTTATAGTCCCAAGGGGGTCGAAGGGTTTGATTGCTTGGGGAGCAGTTTCGTCTTTGTTAGGTTGGTAGTTTCAGTTTCCACCGATTTGATTGTGAGTTGATCAGTTAATGTTTCCCATTCTACTCATAATACCTTCATTTTCTGAGGCCCTTGGTAGTCAGAAAATTATGATTCTAAAAGCTTGTTTAGTTTTTCATTATTTGTAGCCCACAACTGGAGAGGCATATTGGCTTCCTACAACTCTCGATTGGCTTCCATGGTAAATTGTTAGCAATTCCGTTCTGCTGCTAGTAGTTCCTTGGAAAATGTCAAGGTACAGAGAGTAACTAATTTCAGTTGTGTAGGGGCTATTGAACTTCTTCAGTTGTGTGTCTAAAGTAGCCTGAAGCAGAAAGGGAGAAGAAGTCCTCCAAATTAAATCACTATTTGGATCATTGAGATCCTTGATCCAAAGGAACTTTGTGAAGTTTCTGTCCTACTCCTGGAGGCCTACCCTATGGAATGCCTTGCTTATGTCGGCCGTATATGAATAAATTCCTGTTCATAACTTTAATAGCACATCATAAACCCTTTGGGTTAGGCTAGGGCCAGTTTGAAGGCAATCATTCAAAGAGACACCTTGTTTGCCCTTGACACTGGAGTGAAAAACTGTCCTCAGTGGGGTAGTAACTGAGGCTTTCAATAGGATGAGGTAAATAGTGTCCCTCCTTAGGGTCATCGTTTTCTACGACTCAAATGAATATATTCAGAGATGTTGTTGTATTATTTCATTGTACAATTTCAGGTTGTTTTTGTAAGTGCAACACCTGAGACCTTATTTGGTTTTGTGACATGAAATTGAAGCCTGACCAAGTATAGTTTGTCCGTGTATACAACTGAGTCGAGGTATTGTTGATATGTCGAGGCATCGTCTGGACTAGGATGTTCAGTGACGATGCCTAAGGTAGCTAGATCCCATATTTTATGTACAGGGGGATCCAGCTCATACTTAATCATGTTTCTGAACATTAGTGGTGACTGCTCTTCGTCATCTCATGCAACCATTACTGGATTGATATGTTAGTTGTCTACAGGTGTGTACTTATTCAGACACATTACTGGGCCTGTAAATAATTTGTCACTCATAAACATTAACGGGTTCATTTCCTGTTGTTTTAAGTGTCCAGTGATGAATATATGGTAGTAGTCCGCACTTTCAAGGATTCCAATATCGGTGAGGTGGTCGGTCGTATTTTTAGTGTCTGCAAATTTAACTCTTCTTTCGTTCAGGATTTTGGCAGCTGCTTATAGACTATGAACATATAGGTCCGACGGAATTTTGTCCACCACAATAACCTGTACTGGACAGACATACCGCCCAAACGTACAAGACGATGTACGACCAGGTATACTTGAGGTTCCGTGTTTCTCAGGAACCCCCAAAATGTTATATTTTACCAGGGTAACAGGTGTTAATTAAAGATCATCTGACACCTTTTGAGTGACTTAAGTGTTTTGGGACCCTTGGTCAAATAACCCTCGAGTATAGACCTTGGTCCCCCTTTTTTATGGTCAGTTGGGCAGAGAGCAAAGTTGCGTTATTGTTGGACTTTGTCAACAGGACACTATTCTCCTGTCACACCTTATAGAACTGTACTGTGCTGGAAAATTTTAAATTCCTCTACCTTGGGTTTTGGAAATTTTACTTTTGTGTAGGGTACGGTATTGTGTTGACCCTTTTTACACATATTGCAGGTATGTAGTTGGGTTTCACAGGTGTTAGTGTTGTGTGACCTGAGACACCTCGTGCATTTTTGCTAGTCCTTGAGTCGCTTGATACGGGTGACTCGATCAGGATAATTTGTGCACTGGTAGATAGAATATTCCTCTTGGCAGAACCGACATGTCTGCCAGCCTACTGTACCTTTTGGAATCACTTCCTTGGGTGACACAGTTACTGTGGGCTTCAACGGACCTACTTCATAAGCGCCTACACTGCCTGACTTCCACTTAGAAGTGGAAATATTTTGGTTGTGTTTAGGGTTAGTACTTGATGTACTTTTTGTTTCCTCTGACTTCGTCGTTTTAGACTTGTGAGTTGATGAACTCTGTATTTGTAGTATTTTCTCATGTGCTCTCATACGATTCACAATCATCCTCACACCCTCAAAAATTTCGTCCAGGGGGAGGATGTCTGTTTTAAGTGAGAGCAGAGAGATTCCAAGCTTTCGCTGGGTAATTTGCTCTAATCTGTAATTTTTAACACCAATTCTGCATGACAAGCATCAGCCTTAGCAGCTAAAGCTTTGACTAAGAGAATCTACTTGGACTCTAAAGTCTTATATAGCCTCAAGTGTTATACCTGGTGTAGGTTTAGCTCTCAATTTAGAGTAGAGATTGGCTATAGCAATCTCTTTGTTACAATAATTGAGGTGAAACAACTGCATGGCAATAATGTAGTCGTCATCGCTAAGAATCAGTTTGTCAATAACTGCTTTTGCTTCACCTCTCAAGGTACTTTACAAATAAAGAAATTTTTTTATTTGTTAATGGAACCTTTACAGTTCACTAATGAATCAGTCGGATTCCAGTAACATTCAAAGTTTTCTTTGCCCCTGCCTAGAAATACCGTTAAGTCAAAGGCAGATAGGTGGACTTCAGTGATGGGGTTAAATGTATTAGCTCCGTTTGTTGTTAGAGCATTTTGAGATTCAGAGTTGGTATAAGAGTTGTATTCATTTATCCAGGCGATCTTGGACCTAATCCTCATATTCCCTTGTGTTAGGAATCAAAAGAAAGGAACCACGGGGTCAAACAGTCCCTGTGGCGAATTGGTAAGACTCTTGCATGGAATTTCACGAGCTCTTTGGCCTGGATTCGTATTCTGGCCGGGGAGGATTTACTGGGTGCCAATCTTCAAGGGCATCCTACCATCCTCTAGTACACCCTACCATCCTCTAGTACATCCTACCATCCTCATATACATCCTACCTTACTCAGGTACATCCTTCCATGTTCATTTACAACCTACGATCCTCTGGTACATCCTGTCATCATCTAGACTAGGACTCGGTTCAGGCGAGTCCTCGTGCCTCAGCCATCATCATTATTCCATAACATGGAGAGCTGGTAAACTCCTTGATTGATTGATTCATAAAGATATGTATATTACTTGAACAAATAAAATAATTTGACAAATTGCGGATATAAAAGTTTTGATTTCTCTGTCAAATGTCAAAATGTCAACGACTATATAGTCTCCTGGCTGAAAAATAATCTTTAATTAGTTAGATTTAATATAAAAATTAATTAAACGCCTTCAATAAAATTATTTTTATTTCCATTAATAATTTGTTTTACCAACAGTTAATTGAAGACCATCCAATGACATGTTGAGAAGTGTGATCATGTACCAACACTTGTTCATGTACCAAATTTATTTATAATGTTCCTGGTGGTAATGTTTATCTTGTGTTGCCAGATACGTAAGATGTGATGGAAACACTTGTGTTTATAATGTCCCTGGTGGTAATGTTTATCTTGTGTTGTGTTGCCAGATACGTATTACGTGGTGGCAACACTTGTGTTTATAATGCCCTTGGTGGTAATGTTTATCTTGTGTTGCCAGATACGTATTACGTTGTGGCAACACTTGTGTTTATAATGTCCCTGGTGATAATGTTTATCTTGTGTTGTGTTGGCAGATACGTATGACGTGGTGGAGACCTGTGGCGGCATGGGTGAGAGCCACTTGCCTGTTCAAGGCATCAATGAATTTATCCGGGTCGTCAAGCCAGGTGAGAAAACAAACTGAGGAATGAGGAGGAGTGAATATTGATGAATCTGTTATATGAGCCCAATACCCATCAGAGCTTCATGGGTCGGACTACACTTCAGGACTCCCTGAGTGGTACTACGCCTCAGGGCTCCCTGAGTGGTACTACACAACAGGGCTCCCTGAGTGGTACTACACATCAGGGCTCCCTGAGTGGTACAACACATCAGGGCTCCCTGAGTGGTACTACACATCAGGGCTCCCAGAGAGGTACTACACATCAGGGCTCCCTGAGTGGTACTACACATCATGGCTCCCTGAGTGGTACTACACATCAGGGCTCCCCGAGTGGTACTACGCCTCAGGGCTCCCTGAGTGGTACTACACCTTAGGGCTCCCTGAGTGGAGCTACACCTTAGGGTTCCCTGAGTGGAGCTACACCTTAGGGTTCCCTGAGTGGAGCTACACTTGATTGCTTCCTGAGTGGAGCTAACACTTAGGGCTTCCTGAGTGGAGCTACACCTTAGGGTTCCCTGAGTGGAGCTACAACTTATGGCTCCCTGAGTGGAGCTACACCTGAGGGCTCCCTGAGTGGAGCTACACCTTAGGGCTCCCTGGGTGGAGCTACACCTGAGGGCTCCCTGAGTGGAGCTACACCTTAGGGTTCCCTGAGTGGAGCTACAACTTATGGCACCCTGAGTGGAGATACACCTGAGGGCTCCTTGAGTGGAGCTACATCTTAGGGCTCCCTGAGTGGTACTACACCTTAGGGCTCCCTGAGTGGAGCTACACCTTAGGGTTCCCTGAGTGGAGCTACACCTTAGGGCTCCCTGAGTGGAGCTACACCTTAGGGCTCCCTGAGTGGAGCTACATCTTAGGGCTCCCTGAGTGGAGGTACACCTTAGGGCTCCCTGAGTGGAGCTACACCTTAGGGCTCCCTGGGTGGAGCTACACCTGAGGGCTCCCTGAGTGGAGCTACACCTGAGGGCTCCCTGAGTGGAGCTACACCTGAGGGCTCCCTGAATGGAGGTACACCTGAGGGCTCCCTGAGTGGAGATACACCTTAGGGCTCCCTGAGTGGAGCTACACCTGAGGGCTCCCTGAGTGGAGCTACACCTTAGAGCTCCCTGAGTGGAGCTACACCTTAGGGCTCCCTGAGTGGAGCTACATCTTAGGGCTCCCTGAGTGGAGCTACACCTTAGGGCTCCCTGAGTGGAGATACATCTTAGGGTTCCCTGAGTGGGGCTACACCTTAGGGCTCCCTGAGTGGAGCTACACCTTAGAGCTCCCTGAGTGGAGCTACACCTTAGGGCTCCCTGAGTGGAGCTACACCTGAGGGTTCCTGAGTGGAGGTACACCTGAGGGCTCCCTGAGTGGAGCTACATCTTAGGGCTCCCTGAGTGGAGCTACACCTTAGGGCTCCCTGAGTGGAGCTACACCTGAGGGTTCCTGAGTGGAGGTACACCTGAGGGCTCCCGGAGTGGAGCTACACCTGAGGGCTCCCTGAGTGGAGCTACACCTGAGGGCTCCTTGAGTGGAGCTACACCTGAGGGTTCCTGAGTGGAGGTACACCTGAGGGCTCCCTGAGTGGAGCTACATCTTAGGGCTCCCTGAGTGGAGCTACACCTTAGGGCTCCCGGAGTGGAGCTACACCTTAGGGCTCCCTGAGTGGAGATACACCTTAGGGCTCCCTGAGTGGAGATACACCTGAGGGCTCCCTGAGTGGAGCTACACCTGAGGGCTCCCTGAGTGGAGCTACACCTTAGGGCTCCCTGAGTGGAGCTACACCTTAGGGCTCCCTGAGTGGAGCTACACCTTAGGGCTCCCTGAGTGGAGCTGAAAATTATATAAAATATATTTATGTGTTTGTGGAATTGTCTGTGCAGTTACAAACTAAAGATAACCTGGTGAGGGATAACTGTGCACAAAGATAACTAGGTGAGTGGCAACTATGCACAAAGATAACCAGGTGAGTGCTAACTATGCACAAAGATAACAGGTGAGTGCCAAGTATGCACAAAGATAACCAGGTGAGTGGCAACTATGCACAGAGATAACCAGGTGAGTGATAACTATGCACAAATATAACAGGTGAGTGGCATCTATGCACAAAGATAACCAGATATGAGTTGCAACTATGCACAAAGATAACCAGGTGAGTGGCAACTATGCACAGATATAACAGGTGAGCGTCAACTATGCACAAAGATAACCAGGTGAGTGTCAACTATGCACAAAGATAACCTGGTGAGTGTCAACTATGCACAAAGATAACCAGGTGAGTGACAACTATGCACAAAGATAACCAGGTGAGTGATAACTATGCACAAAGATAACCAAGTGAGTGATAACTATGCATAAAGATAGCCAGGTGAGTGTCAACTATTGTGGGGGAGAATTTAGTTCTATAATGAAATTATAGTAAATGTTTCGAAGGCCCAATATTAAAATATTAAAGATAAGAGAACCAGTGGCCTCTGGAACTATAATATTAAATTCATAAATGTAATTAAATATATTTAGAGAAATGAAGTGTATTATTAATAATAATTCAGAACATTCAGTCAATTAAGGCAGCGTCTGGGATCCTCTCGGACGTAGGTTCGAACCCTCGTCACAGCCCTTGTGGATTTGTTTAATAATTCAGAACTAAATCCTTACGCCCTACAAATTGGGGGTTAAATAATGTGAAGTTAATGAACTTCAAATAATAAGAAGGTAATACACTTCTGTTAATGAAATATTGAGATGTTAACACACATCTATTAATGAATTAATTCATATTAAATATAATTTGACTCTATATAATAATAAATTACTATCTACAATAGAATACTGGAAACGTCTTAGGTGTTTTGGATGATCGCAGATTACGTCCAGCCTCTACAACACGTTTAATCCAGTCCAAGATAACTATCCGTGGGAACATGTGATCATGGAAGCTTTAACAAGTCTCCCTCAGTCTTAATAGCACGCTGAGAGGCAAAACTTATATAATTTCCACTCCAACTTAGTATTTACGCATTTAACCCGCAAGATCTAAAATAATTGGAGGGATAAGAGCAGCACTCACGTGGGTGTTTTATATGTCAGGCGACCTAACCACACCAAACTATATTGTGAATGAAGGCCAATATTACAAACTCTAGATAGTACTTCACTGCTGAACGTAGTGTTCATAAGCTGGGAAGGTTATCTTGGTTATCTGCAACCCGTTCTCGCAAATTCGTAAAGTCAATATTGACTTATTAACTACGTGCATAGGTGATATACGTAACATAATAGATACCCTTAAAAAGATTCATAGAAAACACCGACCTTACCTAACCTTGTTAGTATCTTAAGATAAGCATCTTATTGCTTCGTAATTACAATTATTACTTAACCTATACCTATTATAGGTTAAGTAATAATTGTAATTACGAAGCTATAAGATGCTTATCTTAAGATACTAACAAGGTTAGGTAAGGTCGGTGTTTTCTATTAATCTTTTTAAGGGTATCTATTATGTTAAGTATGTCACCTATGCACATATTTAATAAGTCAATATTGACTTATTAAATTTGCGAGAACGGGTTGTATCTTGGGGGCTTTAGTGTCCCCGCGGCCCGGTCCTCGACCAGGCCTCCACTCCCAGGAAGCAGCCCGTGACAGCTGACTAACACCCAGGTACCTATGCAGGTACCCTATGCCCCTGTTACCTAGCAGTGCTAGGTAACAGGGGCATAGGGTGAAAGAAACTCTGCCCATTGTTTCTCGCCGGTGCCCGGGATCGAACTCGGGACCACAGGATCACAAGTCCAGCGTGCTGTTCGCTCGGCCGACCGGCTCCCCGGAAGGCTGCACTTTCTATCAGAAGCTCGCAGAATAACGAATGCTCCAAGATTTGATCGATTTATGAGGAGTGGCTACAGAACACCGAGCAATCAGGTTGGTAAGATGGCGAGTTTCTCTCCTCCTTCCAGTGACGCATGCGCACTCGCGCTTATGCTGGACCTCTGGGTATAATTTGTAATATTTCAAATAGAGTCCAGAAAGAATGGAGACGTGGTTGACGAATATTTACGTCATAATAAGGAGTTTTATAAGATAGTAAATGATAATTCGTAGTGCGGGTCAATTAATTTAGATGAAATTAATCAGACGAAAATATTAAGAGTGGAAATAAAGTTTATCGTTTTAACTACCGGAACTGTTGATTTAGACTGTATAAACTATTTCCAGTAAACGCACGTATATACTATCAAATAAAATAAATCTATTATCAATCGATTATTCTTAATAAAGAAAGGTAAATGAGGCTGGATTCAATTCGATCCATTACTATGTAAATTTTATTCCCTGTGGCTGGCTGGCTGACGCAACACCACGGCCATGACTCTAGGGAGAGAGCGAGGGCTACTGTGCCTCAATTAAATAATATGAACATCTATATACTACTGGTTAGTAGTGTTAGTGGATTATAATATCTAGTACAAGAATTATATCTTAACGTACTAGACGTTAGTAATTAAGTGTTGGAAATTTCCAACAACTGTTCACAACGATAACCAGGCGAGTGGCAACACTGACAGAGTGATGTGCGCACACACATCATGTTAATGATGTGCACAGACACATCATGTTAATGATGTGTATTATAAATTCATCAAGAGCAAAGTAATGAGACTGGTTGCTTGAGGCTGGGTATGAGGTACCAATGAGACTGGTTGCTTGAGGCTGGGCATGAGGTACCAATGAGACTGGTTGCTTGAGGCTGGGTATGAGGTACCAATGAGACTGGTTGCTTGAGGCTGGACATGAGGTACCAATGAGACTGGTTGCTTGAGGCTGGACATGAGGTACCAATGAGACTGGTTGCTTGAGGCTGGACATGAGGTACCAATGAGACTGGTTGCTTGAGGCTGGACATGAGGTACCAATGAGACTGGAAACCTCCCAGGAAGTCAGCCAGATGTATTGACTTGAGGATTAATTTAACATTGAACTGTACAATATAATTCCATATGTCAAACACATAAG